AGGAGTGGGCAACCTGGAAAGAGGACGAGATTAAGACAAAGTACACAGCATGGTGATCTCCTGAAAATCGTTTTTGAGTGGCTGAAGCCCAGAGGGAGGTTGGGGCTATTTGGTGTCTCCCTGTGCTACCCTTCTGCCCTCAGTTAAGGGTAGACACAGGGATGTATGTATTCAGTGCCACATTGGATGACTGGGGACTTCCTTTGGGGCTGGGAGGACCACCGCTCAGAAAGTAGGATCAATGCTGTGCCAGGAGCCCAGGGCTTTCTAAAGGCAGGTGAAGCTGGGTATGAACTGGTGAGCTGGGCATGAGCAGGTGTGAGCCAGGAGTAAGCAGGGCAGGGCAGAACTCCTGGGCCTCCACCTGTCCTGGGTTTAGGACCTCTGGTCCCTGGAGACCTCCCCTTGATGGCCCTCCAACAGCCCTGAGAACAAGCCCTATAGGGAAGGTAGTCTACCTCAGGAGACTGCGGTCCTGGGGAGCGGCCTGGGGGCCCGCAGTGTTGAGCATCCCCTTCCTCTTGCCATCTCTGGGCTCAGATATGCAAGCCTCACCTGTGCTACAGGTCTTGACTTTCCCATGGCTCTTTCCTCAGGATTCCCCCTGACACTTGGTGTTTGCCCTTGGTGCAGTGTCATGAAACACTCTATGGATGCCACCTATGAGGAGCAGGGCCCAAGCCCCGGGTACCACATGGAGCTGTCCATCTTCTACGTGGTCTACTTCGTGGTCTTCCCCTTCTTCTTCGTCAACATCTTTGTGGCCTTGATCATCATCACCTTCCAGGAGCAGGGGGACAAGGTGATGTCTGAATGCAGATCAGGAGAAGAATGAGGTGGGTGGCTCCCTCTTCTGCCCAATGTGCACGTGCGCATTGGAAGCTCTGCTGGCTCCCCTGACGGGCAGCCTGGGCAGAACCACTGGACTTCCTTTCCTCATGGGACTCGCTCATCACCGCATAGCTGGTGGCCAGCACAGGGGCAGGGAGAGACCGAGTGTGGCTGGTCAGGGCTGCCTGCGAGGATGGAAGAGACAGGTGTGGACTGCAGTGGGTGCTGCAGTGTGCGGTTCCCCCCAACCCCACCATGTTCTCAGTGCTCCTTTGTCCCCGGGCAGAGGGCTTGCATCGACTTCGCCATCAGCGCCAAGCCCCTGACGCGGTACATGCCCCAGGACAAGCAGTCATTCCATTACAAGAAGTGGACATTTGTGGTCTCGCCTCCCTTCGAGTACTTCATCATGGCCATGATCGCCCTCAACACAGTGGTGCTAATGATGAAGGTATGTTGGCTCAGCATGGGGGACAGTGGGTGCCAGCTGGGGTGTGACAGAGAGAGAGAGAGCGAGAGCCATAGTTGAAGCTGATCACGTCCTGGTCAGCATGGGATGTCTATAGAAGCCCAGTGCCCTGGGTTCTCTGTGGGCTGAGATGGTGAGAGTGTCCTAGGAGAAAACAGGGCGAGCAGGGACGGGTATCCCTACCCTGGGCAGGCGTGCAGTTCTCTCTGCTCTGGCAGGAGGTCGAGCCTGGGGTGTCTTGGGGCAGCCAAATCTGTAGCCAATGGCACTTATTCCCTGTGCAGTTCTATGACGCACCATATGAATATGAGCTAATGTTGAAATGCCTGAACATTGTGTTCACATTCATGTTCTCCATGGAATGCGTGCTGAAGATCATCGCTTTTGGGGTGCTGGTAGGTGCCTTGGCTCCCTCTTGGCCTTTTGGTGGTCTGCATTCTGGCTCCCTCTCTGTAGGGAGGATCTTCAGGGACTTGTAGCTTAGAGCTGGGAATTCCCCAAGCCCCCAGAGCAAATGTGACATTGCGGGGGCTCCTGAGGAAGGGGCTGCTCCAATACCCTGAGCTGCCTGAGCTCTGCCCCTAGCCCAGTTCCTGGAGACAGGCGGGGCCAGGCTCCTCCTCTTTGGACACACAGCTCTCAGTTCTGCACCTGCCCAGACCCACAGGTGTTTGCTTACCCAGCTGTGGTGTCCCCCCTGGGTGGCCCATCTGTCCCTTTGCTCCTTTCTTGATTAGGGGTACTTCCTGCAACTCCTTGCCTGGCAGAACCCTTACCAGCCTCTAGCAGTAACTGCTCTTTTTTCTCTCCAGAACTATTTCAGAGATGCCTGGAATGTCTTTGACTTTGTCACTGTGTTGGGAAGTATTACTGATATTTTAGTAACAGAGATTGCGGTAAGTAGCGTTTCCTGTCCTTCCTGCAGGGCCCCAGAATGGTTTCCTTCTAGGCAGTGCTCCTCAGTGCGCCTCCAGGTCCTGAGTGTTAGCCCCTTCTCTCTTGCCAGAGTTCCCCAGGAGCCCCTGGAAAGAAGGAGGCTCCTCTCCAGAGGTGGAGTTGGGGATTGGGTATTGTCTTGGGAAATGCTTTCTCTTGGATAAGAAAGTGGTTTCCAAAAGGTCTTCTAGGCTGGTGGTCTGAGAGTCCCCTGGGAGCTTCATTGTAACAACTGACCAGGAAGACAAGAATCTTTTAAATCTGTGTGTGTCTGACAAATCTAACAACTTGGCACCAAAGTACATGAACTAAAACCAACAAGAATTTAGAATATTTTAGAATATTAGGTTTGTTTTACGTGTGTGTGTGTGTGTGTAAATAAAATGAGATACTCATTCATATCAAACATACACAGATTATATGTAAAAACTGACCAAGTGCTAAAATATGAAATTGTCTCGACAAATTTCAAGGAATCTGAATCATAAAGCAGTATTCTTTGAGTACAATGCATTATGTCAGAATTAAATGGCAAAAATCTCATCTCAGTCCTAAGGTGACTTCTCCAGGAGCAGACACTTAAGGTGGGGTTCTTGTACGAGTCATTTCTTAGGAAGCACTCCCGGGCAAGACCGTGAGAGGGAAGTTTGGGGAAATGGACGGCTAAGAGAAGGGGGGTCAGAAATGGATCTGGAGCCACGTGCCAGGGTGCGTCTGGGTCATCCCAGACGGGGGCTTGGAGACAGGGCCGTCACCCCTCAGAGCTGCAGAGCTCATGACTCTGGACGGACTAGTCCAGAGCTAAGGTCTGCACCTGGGGGCTGCAGTTGTCAGATACCTCCAGCCCTTCTGAGTGCACCCCATGTGCAGGCAAAGCAGGCTCTGGCACCCCTGAGGAGGAAGGAATATTAGACACCTTGGTAACAGGACCCTCACTGGAGTGCACGAGTGTCTGCTGTGACCCTGGCCCCACTCAGCTCTGCCCACGTCTCACACTGGGTTCACTTCCCTCCTTCTTCAG